TTATGTATGATTGCCAAGTGCTTCGAGTCCATAAAAAAGCTTTATAAATGCCAGCCATGATTACAACCCTTTGAAACAATGGCATATGTGATTTACAAGTGGAAAAAGATGAGACATAGCAGGTAATGTGTCTTCCTTAGTCCTCTTTTCTACCCCCGCCCACCATGAGGTAGTAATTCCGAGGTCGAAGCACCAACTTGGGAGAAGAAGGGAAGGTTTAACTAGAAGCTGAATAGGGTTTCCAAAGCCTAGGCCATCACACTACCATCGAGAAAGGAGGCACCTAAATCTAACCAAAGGGGTCAAGGGCAAGAGTCCCCAGATAGATGAATGACACCCAGTTCATTGTTGGAGACTGGAATGAAGAAAGCAGGTGGGTGGCCCTTCCAGAACAGACGCCTGAGGAGAAGGACAGATAGAGTGGAAAGGCTGTTAAAGTCTGCTCTTGTTACCTTCGGTTCCCCTTCCTCTCAGGTGTATCCTATCAAGTGGCTAGAAAAGGTATGTGTACAGTGAATGAAAGGAGCATTCAGACGTTCCTCCTGGCAAATATGTGACAGGAAAAGAGAGGGCAGGGACATCTTGTTTGGTTATTTTTCTTGTGGGCCCTTAACAAGATTTTTGAGGGCAGAGGTGACTCCCATGCCAACTTTTCACATGGCTGATGCCATCCATTGCGAAGCAAGCCAAGATCCATGATCAGATTGTTCCAGACTTGACGTTGTTTGGCTTCAAAGGTCGGTAGGGGGCACAGAGAACGTGGTGATTTTCCGTGGATAGGCTGTAAGGGGAAGCTCTGACAGCATCAGTCTGCAGCTCCAACCCAGCAGTGAGCTCAAAGAGTGCTTGACGTTACCTGTCTCAGTGGGTCTGGGGAAATCAACCAGGTTGATCAACCAAACAAACAGCCCTATGTCTCATGCTGGAAACATGAAATTATCTGGGAGTAGGGGATTTGCGGGTGGGCTGTGGGACTAGGTGGGGAGGTCACTTCACATTGCAGGCTTCTTGGCAAGAGGAAGAGAGGGATCGTTACCATGGGCCCAATCTAACCTGTGGTCTGGAGTGTTTGCCAAATGGCTCCTGTTTCCCTGAAGAGTTCTGGATGTGGGAACAGTTCAACTTTCTCCCACTTCTCAGCCACACCACCATCAGTCACCCCAGAATGTTTAATTATTTGGCAGAAGGGACTGGTGAGGTGGCCCCCATCATCTCCTTCCTTGACGTCAGTTCTTCCCTGTGGCGGTCTTATGTGAAATCATTCAGCATTTGTACTTCAATTAAAATTCACAGGTATATATTATTAAACGGTAGTGACTCATTCTGTGGCTTTTCCTCAGCTGAATAAGCGCCAAAAAGTGCTATGTACGCAGTAATGATGAAGACTGCGTTAACACTAAAATTTCTTGTCAAATAATTTTTATTCAGGGCTCTGAAGAAAGCGCCGTGCACATCCAAGAATATCGCTCTGTCTCGTGTCAGTGTTTTCTCAAGAAGAAATTGAACTTCCAGGTTCTTTGTGCCTTGGAGGAAGAGGAAAATGACCCCTGACTGAAAGAACCCTCTCTGTGAGCTTCATGAAGGCAATGCCTGGTACATAGTGTTTTTTTCAAAAGTGGGGCTGATCTAATCGAATTATGCAACCTGCATTCGATGTATCTCTGAGGAGAGAAGGGGAACATACATCGCTCAGCAGGAAAATAGGAGAGGAGCAAAAGTTCAGATTTTCTAAACATCTTACTTTTCTCTTCACGCTAATGTATTATTTTATATTTAATACACCTGGAAGAATGGCCAAGGGAGCAAACGACCCCGTTAATTTTTCTCCCCTACTGTTCAATTTTTTTAATGTTTATTTATTTATTTAAAAAAATTTTTTGACTTATTTTTGAAGGAGAGAGAGAGAGGCAGGGGAGGAGCAGAGAGAGAGGGAGACACAGAATCTGAAGCAGGCTCCAGGCTCCAAGCCATCAGCCCAGAGCCCAACGCGGGGCTCGAACCCACGAACTGCGAGATCATGACCTGAGCTGAAGCCAGACGCTCAACCGACTGAGCCACCCAGGCGCCCCAATGTTTATATTTGTGTGAGAGAGAGACAGAGTATGAGTGGGGGTGGGCAGAGAGAGAGGGAGACACAGAATCAGAAGCAGGCTCCAGGCTCCGAGCTGTCAGCACAGAGCCTGACACAGGGCTCGAGCTCACGAACAGCGAGATCGCGACCTGAGCCGAAGTAGGACACTTGCCCAACTGAGCCACCCAGGCGCCCCTCTCCCCTCCGGTTCAAAAGGCTGTGCTTCTACCTGAGACACAGACATTCCAAGCTAAGTGATCACAGCCTCCAGTTTCCCTCTACTGCCATCCATTTCCTCATCTGGGAAGTGGCATAATGATCTGTACCCAGAACACGTCCTGGGGTGCTAGTGTGTGAGCAAGCTCTGCTTAGAAGCATCCAATGCAATAATACGGTGAAAATAAAAGCTTTGTGAAACTGCAGGCTTTTCACCCAAAGGAGGGATGGTCATCAGACCAGTGGTAGTTCCCCAAGAGGTATAGCCGCAGAGGCCCGGACATGAGGTCATAATAAGTGGGCGGGCCTTCCAGCCGGGGCTGTCTCCAGCACATACAGCATTTCTGAGTGAATCAGAAAAAGGCACCGCTTCTGGATCGACACAGCCGTCCAGGTCCATAGACTGAGGAGTAAGTACCATCTCGGGCTAAATCGAAAAAGGCACCCCTCCCTGTAGTGGACGCCATCCAGCGCCAGCGTTCAAGAGTCCGCACGCCCTGGCCGGGCATCCTCACATCACTCGACTCAGCAGCCCCGGCTCAGGCTCAGGTTTGTCTCAAGTCATCTGATGACACTCCCTAACTATCTGAAGAAAATCGTGTATGGTTTGATGCGGAGCAGATTAAACAGTAAACGCTTTAGTGGATACATGATGTCCCAGGTGTAAAACGACATGGGCAACCTGAAAAACAGGAATCACTCCTCCGTGCAGTCAGCACATGGCTGGCGACGTGGATCCACACGACATCTATGGAGGCCATCACCCACTTTCTGCCGGGCCGCGTCTCAGCATCAGCGCCCAAGTCCCTGCCCCTCCTGGGGCTCCCGCAGCACCCAGGAAGTGGGAGCTACGAGGAGCCAAAGACTGTTTTCTTTGTTGATGCCTTGTTGCCAGAAAACAGAAATTAGATCTTGCCCAGATTCTCCTATCAGCAAATCAGAGTGCCAGCACATGCTTCTCAGCGAGACAGCAAGCAAACAGAAATCTACCTTTTCAAAGCTCAGGACGTTTTAGCCCTAAAGTTGGGTTTAAAGTTCTTGAAATCAGATGTGTACATAAGGAACCCATTCCCGATTCTCCGAGTGTTTGTCGAAGTGAATCTGATTGTATTTGCACACATTTCTAAGATCTTCTTGTTTTTGTCTTTTATCTGCTTTGTAGTTTGAGTGAGAGGGTGGAGGGCGTTTGGAAACGATTATAACCAATTATGTCGCTTTCAGAAAAGGCAAGTGAGGCCCAGAAAGGGAAAGACAGTAGCTCCAGGTCACACAGGCATAGTTGATCCAGCTGGGATTATAATCTAATGCTCCTTGGGCTCTCCCAACTGGAGCTTGGGTGGGAAACAGACAGCACATAACTCACTATGACTCAGTTTTTCAGTCTCAAAGGATGAATATGCTTATTGTCAACCACGACCATAAACGGCAAAAGAATAAATGTGATTTTCAGAAAACGTTTTGATCTGCTGGCTCACTTAAGAACTACTCCTCTACCAGTGCCCATCACAGAGGCAGAGAATCTCCCACTGGTTAGCGGCACAGGCTCCCCCAGGCCGGAACCACCCAGGGCTCCACCCCAAACAGTGTCTCTGAAGAGCTTCCCAAGAATTCTGGCCGCGGACCAGTGGTTCTCCGGACTAACACCGCTGCTAACCATTTCTGTTCCTTCAAAAATAGTGCTTCCACTTTCCTTGTGGCCCCAAAGCACCTGCCAGCACAACTAGTCATGGCCCAATGGTGTCCCTGGGCTGTCCGCAAAGCCACAAAGCCATTCCCTGAAGACAAACCAAACATTTGGGAGAAGACAAATAAATGCCAGATGTTAGAATAAGGCTCCCTGTATTAAACAATCAGACACAAGCACAAATCTGTGAACTGGATAGCAGCAAAGATGAGGGGACACCGAAATACATGCAGGTGAATATTGGAATCAGTCAGAAATCCATCTTTCTTACGAAATGCCCCTTCTGGCCAAAGGACCCCACACTCAGGCAATGTGTGGGCGGTGCCCTGATTCAGGCAGGATTGAAGATTTTCTTCCTAAGTCACCGGGGTGAAGAGTCCTTCTACTTCAACCCACTGAACCACCTTTTAAAAGACGCAAGTCTGAGGGCAGTCCTTTCTGGAGCACTGTGGAGGATGAATCGAAGCTTCCAGTGTCACTTTGTTCTCAGGTGAAAATACCAGAGCCAATTAACTCCACCAAGGCCCTGCGAAGGCTGGGGCTCTCCGTCTTCTGCCGTGCTTTTCAGAGCCAATCAGTGACGCATGAGGCGGTGCAGACCCCACTGGGGGCTCCTCAGACTCCAGCTCATGGCCGCCAGGACCGGGAGAGGGTGTTGCTCAAGGGCACAGGGCCAGAAAGGCTTCGCGTCCAAATCACACGCTAACTTTAGAACTGGAGCACGCATGAGAGGTGTAGTTTCGCCAAGAATGCGCTTATTCTTTCTGCTTCAGCTTTCGCATGTGCAACAAACGAGGTGTGTGTATGCACATGTGTGGGGGTTGGGGTGGGGGAGGGTTGATGACCGGATGAAAAACCAAGATAGACAGACGGAGTGAGGCAAAGCAAGCATCCTCGAGAACAAAAGGGGGCTCTGGTGACTCGGATTAACCTGTTAATTTATACCATAGCTCTGTACAAAAATAAAAAGGTTCTCATAAGATTAACAATTTAAATAAATATCTGATAGAACTTTTTCTTTCCTCATTTTTATAGCTCATCTTTGGGGTTGATATTCAGTTCATGCTTCCCTTGTTGTTCTTGATCCAGAATTGCGATCACTTCATCGGCCTGTATTCGCTCCTACAAAAAAAGATAATTTACACATTTCTATTACAAGAATCAGAATCAGCCCCAGTGGCAGGTGCTTCCCAAACACTTCCAGGCATCCATCTGTGCATAGATTGGTGCTAGATCCAGTTAAAGACTAAACCTCATCTCTGTCCCTCGACTGGTGCCTTCTGCTGACTGCCTCATGCCCTAAGCAATTACTTTCCAAGATTTCTCTTTGGCCAAGAAGTCTTGTGTATTCAACTGATCCATACCCTTTCTACTTTGTGGTTCCATAGATGTCTCCCACTCAGTTCTCAATCCAGTGTTCAGGCTGGAGTCAGCGTTTTCTGCCCCACACACCTATGCTGGTCCTCCACACAAGTTCTCTCTGTCAGTAAAGACTGCCCCTCCTCACCATTTGCCCTAAAAGCCCAGCCATGGTTCCTTGGATCTGATAAATCACCTACTCCCCTCTGTTCTATCTCCTGTTTCCACTCCTTTTCAGTGCACATTACTGCTGCCTTAGTTTAGAGCAGGATTTCTCAACTGTGGCACTCCTGACATTTTGGAGCAGATGATTCTTTGGTGGTGGTGGTAGGCTTGTGCCCTGTAGAATGTTTAGCAGCATCCCTGGCCTCTGCCCACTCCAGGTACCCAGCAGCACCTCCCTCCCGTCTCTAGACATTGCTGAATGTGCCCTGGGAGGCAAAATTGCTCCCACCTCAGAACCACAGGTTTAGGCTCTCTTCATCGAACTCAGCTTCCAAATCATATTCCCATTTCACACCCACTCACACATGCTTCTAATGGGCCTTCTGCACTTTAATTCGGACCCTGTCACTATCTGGTTCACAGCTCACAACCTTTACTTGGGTTCTTTTTACTTGAATTTTCAGGCCCAATCTTCTTGATGTGCTTATAAGGAGTTGCCCGAGTCAGAACTTTCTCTCTTCATTGGTTCTCCTTGCCTTCTCCTTTTACCTCACCTTGTTCTGTAACTTCCTAAGTTACCTCAAAGTCCCCGAATGCAGCACTCTCCAAGAAATCCCTTGCCCTAGTCTAGGTTAAAGGTATTTCTGGATGCTTCCATCATATCCTAGGCATTCCCTTCCCCATCCATCAAACCGTCAGCAGGCCCAGTTGGTATACTTCCAAATGGCACCTGCAGCCTTCCATGTTCATACACCTTCTCTATCACTATTCTAGCCCACAACATGTAGGCCAGATGCTTCCTTTCCTGTACGTACTAGAGTATGACAATGTCTTTCCTATTCTGTAACTTCCTAGGTTGGGGGGTAAGTGGGGAGCAGAGAAGGCCACATGGCTTCCCCACCCCAGTTAGAATAGAATTCAGGATTCTTAACTAGTTTGTCATGTCTGACTCCTCCTCCTCTGTGTCCCCTTTTCAGACCACTGTCCATCTTGCATTTGCCTACCATGTTCTGGCCACTCTAGATTTCTTGGTGTGTTAGCCACTCCAAGCCACCTCTGATCTCTGGCCTTTGCAACCTGGTCTCTACCTGGAATACTCTTCCCAGGACCTTTATCACAGTTGGCTTCTTCTTGTCACTCAGATGCCAACTCACATGTCACTTGTCTGGAGCACCCTCACCCTTTAGTCTCAAACCAGTTACCTTGCTCCCTCTTCCACACATCATTTCTCACCACCTGGACATCTCTCAATTATTTCCTCTTTTCCTTATTTTCTTTTTCCACTAGAAGTTAAGTGCCATGAAAGCAGGAGAGCTTGTCTTTTTGGTCATTCTTGTATTTCAGGTGCCCAGAACACCCACTGACATTTGGCAAGGGCTCCGCTATATCTGATGAGTAAACACATGAATGGATGAAGGGTCCCTTCTCTGCTTCAAGTATGTCTCTCTCAGCTGCATGCTAAATGCCATCTTTTCAACAAAGCTTTTCTCGTTTCCTCTTTATGTCCCCTAACATGTGCAACTGCCCCTAATAATTCTTACTGAACTTTACCTGGTGTTTTAATTACTTTAGCTCTTGCACTCAATCTTCATTCTGACCTCCAGCTCCTTGAAAACAGGAATATGTAGTCCACGTTGCCTATTGCTGGCCCCTAGCACAACGCCTTGCGCAGCAAGTTACGGGAAAACTATTTGGTGGCTTGAAAACAAAGCCCTTTTTCCATTCAAGACCTCCGAATTGAAAATGACGCTTACATGAAGTCAACCCAAAGGACCCAATGTACTAAATAACAGACACTAAACCGCTGTGATGCTAAGATGCCTGAGCGCTACTTCATGAACGTGGAAACAATAACTTGCTGCTTAACAAACTGATGTACAAAAATGGCACAGACTCTCAAATCTGACTGCCACGAGAGACATCCCAAATCATATCTCTCCTGAACAGAAAGAAGTTCGTGAGCTGGAACTGCGTGTACAGGGAACTGAAGCTTCTGATATTGTACATCCTTAAGAATTTATGATGCTATCCACTCCTTGGGAATTGATACCTTCAAAACAATCTAGAGCACGTGCAGAGATCGGCAAGCTCTGACGACTCCTCCATAGGCTCTCCCTGCTCGGGAATTTAGTCTGAGAAGACGCACCGAACTCAGGACTCTCAAACTTTGTTGCATGTTAGAATTGCCCAGGGAGTTTTAAAGCTCCCCACACCCAGATCACATTCCGTATCCGTAAATGAACGCCAGATCCCCAGAATGTCTGAGGATGGAAGACAGATGCCAGTAGTTTGTAAAGCTCTCCGGGTGGTTCCAGTGCGGAGCAGAGCCTGAGAATCCCCTAGGCTAAATTTTCTAGTAGTTGCTCAAGAGGTTCTGGTCATTCCCTCCTGTGACCACTAGATGCCGCTACTGCCCGGGTTCTGGAGAAGTTTCCCAAAGCTCTCTGGATTAGGAAGGAGCCACAAGAATTTTCTTTGTATTAGTTTATTTTGATAGAAAATATCTTGAAGAGAGGGCTGGGATACTCAGGAATGAAACAGACTGAATGTCGTTCAATTGAACACTAAAGAAAGGAAGGAGTGTGATGATGTTCCAATAACATACGACCCTCCCTGTCTACTCATCTGTCTAGATTCCCTGATGCAGGAGTCTAGTGGCGGTGGAGTGAGGGGAGGGG